CTACATGTGTAGTTTAAACTAAACTACACTTATGAACTATACTCTTAAATGTTTAAACTTTGGTATTGAAAAAAATATGCTTGCTATGAATACATCATTGAGCACGCAAAATTAAAGAAATTTCTTAAACTTTGTTTTAATTAAGTAAATGGTTATTTTAGATCACTGCATTTACTATTGAGAGTAAGAGCAATCATATTAAGCTTCACTGCAAACTAGGAACTACAGAAAGTTTAAAACAAGTATTATTTCACTAATTTTCCCTCCTAATGTTCATACTGTATTGCAAGTCAGAACATTACACAAGATAGTCAATGTCTTCAACTGGTTGTTTTCTTTAAGGAGCATTTCTCCAACATAACCATTACCTTTATCTTTAAAACGACATACATCCAAGACTGTCAAGATGATGAAATACTTAGATATTGAAGAAGAAAGATACAAAGATGTAAAGTCTACCACAAAGGTCATTCAATTCCAGCTGAAATATTTTCATTAAAATTTACAAATGAGTCCAGTCTCTCATGAGCATGGCTGGTAAAAATTAGAGAGAAACTGCTGGCCAGAAAAACATGAGAAAAATTAAGGAGATTGGAAAGAGAAAAGACAAGAGGATATGCAGCTCCCTCTCTGAGAAGTCTCCGCAGACATGGGAAAGGTGAAAACTGGCTAATTCAGAAAACCTGGGGGCTACTGTCAACCCAGTGTATCATGCACGCTGAGATTCTGTAGACAGAACAGTCATTACACGTTATCCTCTATCCTCATAAAACAGTCTATTTTAATCTTTGGGCACATGGCCAGGAGGGACTGATCCTTGGAGAAGGACATCATGCTCAGAAGGGTGGGGCGACATTGCAGGAGAGGAAGACCCTGGAGGAGATGGATTGATACCGTAACTGGAACAATGAAGGGGTGTGTCAGAATCAGTGAAACTGGCTCCGGACAGGACAGGTTTCTGAACTGCTGTACATAGGACCTCTGAGTCGCAAGCGACTTGATGGCACATAACAACAACAATTTTAAACTTTACCTTCCACCTGATTTAGTGAGATGTTTTAGAACTACTCTTTGAAAAATAAACCACCAGTCACACACGTAAAAAAGGTTACAAAATACTACGTCTTATCATGGGTATAAGGATGCCCTGGTGGTGCAGGGTTTAAGCACTTGGCTGCTAATGGGAAGACTGGTGGTTCGAACCCACCAGCTGTTCCTTTGCCTGTGATCATGTTGTTGTTGTTTTGGGGTACTGTTGAGTCAGAACTGACCCACAGTTGACCCTCTAGGAGGTTTTCAGAGGCAGTAAATCACATGAGAGGAGACTATCCATTCTCCCACGGAGCAGCTGTTGGATTTGAACTGCTTACCTCTGCACTGGCAGCACAATTCCCTACAACTAAGCCACCAGTTCAACACTCTTGGCACCAGCACCCAGGAAATAAAAGGACAAATTGCATTGGCGAAGTTTGCCGTCAGAGACCTCTCCAAAGTACTGAAGAGCAATGATGTCAGTCTGGAGATTAAGGTGCACCTGACCAAGGTCATGGTCTTTGCAATTGCTTGCTATGCATCGGAAAGCTGGACAATGACTGGGGATGACAGAAGGAGAATTGATGCCTTTGAGCTGTGGTGCTGGAGTAGAGTACTGAATATATCATGGACTGCTAGGAGAACAAACAAGTTCATCCTAGAGAGGGTGAAACCAGGCTGCTCCTTGGAGGCAAGGATTCTGAAGCTTCATATGACATATTTTGGCCATGTTGCAAAACGGGACCAGTCCTTGGAGAGGGACGTCGTTATTGGAAGGGTGGAGGGACAGCGCAAGAGAGGAAGACCTTAGATGAGATGGATTGATTCAGTGACTGGAGTAACAGGGTTAGGTGGGTCAAAGACAATAAGATTGGCACAGGACAGAGCAGGGTTTAGGGCTGTTGTAGAGTCACTATGAGTTGTAGGTGACTTGACGGCACATAACAACCAGAAGCCACCAGACCACCCTCCTGTTATCATGAGTGATCTTAAATGAGAATCCTGAGTTTGCATGCATGTAATCAAGCAGACACTTGCAATTTAAAACGAAAACCCCAACAAAACTTACCTGAAGTAAAGTCCTTGTGCTGGTGTATGTATTCCATGGCCCAATGAATCTGACCAAGTTTACACAGGCAAAGAAGCACTTTATTGTGTACGCCACACTCCATGTAGATGCTTTGCGCCAACGTGATGCATTTGGTTCTGTTAAAAGCATCCTGCTCCCCATAATCATAAATGGCATCCCCCGCCTCCTCAGAGAGCGTCAGCCTAGGAAAGCAGATCAATTCAGCAGAATATCTGAGTCTCCTTGATGAGGGCCTGAGAATCTGGAATGTTTGATAATTCAACAAAGTAGAACTGGTCTTTTTAGGGACTGTCATAACTCCCAAGTAATAAGCAAATGAACAGCATTTTCAAGATTTAGCAACAAGAAAAGAATCAGAGAATAAATTCCTCTGGGGAGGCCATTTTGCTGAAGCTCTGCTTAAGTTTTTGTTTCTGGGTTGTTTTTTTTTAAAAAGCCACAACAAAACAACTATGAGATATCATCTCACCCCGGTAAGAATAGCAAAATTTAACAGAACAGGAAACAGCAA